GTATTGGAATTTGTTGAAAATTCTACTGCAGATTGTTGAACCTCACCTAACGTCTTAAAACTAATAGCGTAGGGGTTAATTTGACGTATTAAATGATCTAAATGTTTCATTATGTCTATGTTACATTTAGTATTAGCTGGATGTTTAACCCGCTCAGCTATAGCCTGAGTCGTATCTAATACATTTAATTGGGCATAGGTAGGATGAGTATTAGAGGGTAGATATAAGTGAGAAGTACGGTGATATATTTGCCCATGAACTTTGAAGCAATAAGGGCCACTACCTGAAAACTCCGATATTTGAGCACCCATTGAAGCAAATGCTATAGATGAATTGTAAGAACGGATATTTTTCATAAAATCTTTGTGTAAGGAATCCTGGGGGTTTGATAAAAGATTTTTTAAATAAGGTGGGTAAGGTATTTGTGTAAGTTTTACTTTCCCTTTATGACAACAATGATTGAATTTTGAAAATGAAGGTTTTTCATCTATAATTGGCATATTGTATTCATAGGACCGCAAGTATGCTCAATTATTAAATTATTGTCATCATTATTAATTATAGGGAACATTTGTTAATCATAGCAGTTTTATTTGATAAGTCAATGGGAAAAGATTGATTTAATTTAGCATTTTGAGGTTGAGATAAAGAACCTAATTGAGGATTGATATATTTAGATTTTATTTGATTACGCATTCCAAGAATTAGTTCCTTAAAATAATTTAATTATTTTATAAATCTTTAATAAATAAACTTTTATTTGATTTAATTTAGCATTTTGAGGTTGAAGAAAAGAACCTAATTGAGGTTTGATATATTTAGATTTTATTTGATTACGTATTTCATGAACAAGTTCCTTAAAATAATTTTAATTATTTTATACAATTTAATAAATAGGTAAACTTTTGTTTGGCTGGAATTGTATATAACTATATGAGTCGTTGTTAAAGGAATTTTAGAAATAAAAGTGTTGAGGAAGATTGTTTTATACTTTTGCCTAAAACGGGCAGCGCATGCACGCATCATAGCATCTTTATTTGATAAATCAGTGAGCAAATATAAATTAGTAGTTTGAGTGATAGGTAATGAAACTAAAGAGTGTATTTCAGATTCGCGAACAACACACAAAATCCCTTAAAATCGTTTTGGGCTCCGCCCAGGGTAACTACCCATATGATAGAATCAACTATAACCGATAAGTAGAGCAGGACTGGCAAGGTTCTCCAAAATTCGCTCAATTTCTTAGCTTTAACATTGTAATCCGCGAATTTCGAACTCCTATCATAAGAATTTTCATGGATCCAATCTCGTTTGTTATTGTGAGGGTAGTTGGACTCCATAAGGAATGAATCTTTGATTTCTTTTATTTATTTATCTAAATCTATATGCTTCTTTTTAAAAAAAATTAAAGTTTAAGGGTGGCGGGAAACCTTAAAAATTATAAACTGAAAATGTTATTAACAGAGAAAATGGGTTATACTGTAAAATTTTCAAATTTTTTCTTTCGAGTAAACTAAACCTCTAAGAATTTCCGAAAATATCGGATCAGCCGATACATGTATAACCGATCCGATCTTTTTGGTTTTCTTTTCTTTTTTTGTTATTTTATTTTATTTTATGTTATGTATATTTATTTTACATTTTTATAATATTTTTTAAATAATTTTTAAAATTTTACTTTTTTTAAAATAGATTTATAGTATTTTAAATGTTTTTTTTTATAAAAATAGAAAGTAACACCCAAAGTTTTATTCATTTTAAATCTTTCAATTTAAATATGGTATCTGAATTATGGAAATATTTTACAAAAGACAAAGATAATTTTGCAAAATGCGTTGTCTGCGGAATAATCTGAGTCTGCCTTCAGTACGGCAGGAGATATAGATAGTCCATATCGTAGAAGCTTATTCCCAGAAAATCTGGAGCCTCTCATATTTATTAAAAAAATCTAATATATTATAATTTTATATATTAAATATTACAATTTTATAATTCATATTAACATAAAATGGATATATTATTAAATATATATTTTTTTATTATAGTCATTGTAGAAATAAAAAAATTAAATTCATAATTCGATTGAATATTGATTTCTTAATTACATTTGTTCAAACGGGGGTGATTAAAAATCAGTATAAAGGATTGGTATCGGATCGGTTTTGAAGCAGTATCGGAAAATAACGGATCGGTAAAAAATATGTGGATTGGCACAGCCCTATAAAATAGGTAAAATTTGACCATAAATCTTAGATCTAAAATGATGATATTTAAATAATTAATATTTTATTCGAAAAGAAATCTAGGAATCACGTGTTCTTTTGTTTTTGTAATAATTTACTATTCTTGCGGATTAGTAAGATATTATGTTCTCAATAAAGAAATCAAAGTAGAGAATATTAGTGTGGGTAAGCGGGAAATAATTCACCGGAAAAAAAAATACCCGATAATAATTCTTAGAAAATAATTCTCCGGGATTGATTTTCTCGAAGTTTTTAAATATAATTATTTGAGGATTTTTGTTCCATGGATATATTTATAGGGAATTTTTTCTCCTATTTTATTAATTTTATAATTTTTAATATCTTAAAGTATATTTCCTAGATTCGTTTTATATGCAAGTTAGCGCTTAACAGTGTGTTTTAAAAATAAAAACATTTCTAAAAAAAATTGGCATCTGACCTTACGAAAAGTTATGGCGCTAAGTAATATAAAACGTGTTTAGATAGTTAAAAACCTTAAGTACCAACTTTATTCAATCCACGAGGGTAAAAGGTTATTATTTTTTTAGGGGGGGGGGGTTTGGTGCAAATAAAAAGTTTGGGTTAAAAGAGCACTTGCTACAAATCTTAGCCTAATCAACGCTCATAATATTCAGTCTGTATTCTCAATTCAAATCATTTTTTTTGTATACAATTCAAACAGATTAATTTTCAATCTTAAATTTTCAAGGAAAAAAAAATAATTTAACAACACTACTTCTAGGGTCATAATTTTATTATTTGTTAAAGAATAAAATGTTCCTTCATTGGTAGAAGTATCGTAATGGGTAGGAGTTGCTAAAATATGTAATAATTTTTATATAATTCAAAGATGTTAGATGGAACCGATAAGAATACTCCGGTGGGGTATCTGTCGATTGAATACTCCAGTGGGATATCTGTCGATTGAATACTCCAGTGGGATATCTGTCGATATCAATACTTCGGTGAGAGATCAAGATACAAAGATACAATGATGGCGATACTCCGGTGGAAGGAATATAGATAAGGAACTCCGGTGGGGGATATCAGAGATAAAAAGAGATAGATAGTATGAATATTAAAGTGGAGAGAGTATTGAGCTTACCACCAGAAAAAGGTGAAAGCTTAAGAGAAAAAAAAAGTAAAAAAAATAGTCTTAAAATGTGTTTGAAATTTACGTGAAGTATCTAATTGTTTATCATATTTATACCAGTTTGCATTCGGCTAGTAATGTATCATGGGATACTTAAACATCCACGCAATAAAAAAAAATCCGCCAAATATTTAATTTTTTTTCTCTATAAATTGAAATAGATTCGGAAGGATTTATCGATAATTATATTTAGAGATTTGTAGCTGCCTGATGAATCAAGAACCTCTCATCCATTTAAGTGTTATAAAAGTATCCAGGATATAAGGAGATTTATTTTTTTCTACTGACCCTATAAAAATATTAAAACGATGGGCTTTGCCTGTAAGTCGAGATGAGATAAATGTTAAATTCGTTTAATATTTTTGAAAAGATTATTAAATAATAGATATTTCAAAATTTGTTGAATATATAATGCGCGAAAAATATAATTTTTTTTTTATATTTCTTCCTTGAAAAATTAAACATAATTAGAAATTGAAAAAAAAAGTTGCAAATAAATTTATCAGTTTAAATTGTATTAAGAAAATAAATTTTTTTTAAAAAAGTGAGATTTGAATTGAGAATGCATACCGAATGTAAAAAGTGCTGATTTGTTAAAAAGACCGATTTGGGTCTATTTTTAAAAATGGCCAGATTAAGATTTTAGCCAAAATAATATTATGTAAGCCTCAAGATTTTGCGAAATATATGTCCTCCAGCTGTGAACAAAATCTCCAGGTTAACATAATATTTTTTTGGTCATAACCTTAATCGGGCCGTTTTTAAAAATCTAACAGAACCGGGCTTTTTAACAATTCAAGTTGATTAAGATTCCTAAAAAGTATTTGGAGAAATAATATAAAAAGTGCCGATTAAGCTCGAAAGATGTGGTTCGACTTATTACTAAACAGCCGGCTGGACTAAAACATCCTAAAAAAGCAAAATAAAATTTTTTTTTTAAATAAAACAAGCAAAATCAAAAAAAAAGAGAAAATAAATACGAATAATAACAATGCCACTAGATACAACCCAAAATAGGGTGTCTTGTCTTAGTTAAAAAATTGTTTAGTCTAGGTTAAAAAGGAAGTAAGCATCTAAATGCTTAAGTCAAACCAGGACCCGAAGAGCTATACCGTTCAATATAAAAAGCTGTGATTAGGCTCGAAATATACCGGCTAATTAAGCCCGACGAGTTATACAATTAAATATATAAAGCGTTGATTAGACCCGAAAAGCTATACCGTTAAATATAAAAAAGTGTTAATTTAAGGCTATAAAAAATGTGTTGGAAAAGTATAAAAAGTGTTAAGCTCGAAGCGAAGTGGTTGGTGTAATATACAAAGTGCTGATTATACTCGAAAAGCTATACCACTAAATATAAAAAGTGTTGGATTGAGGTAAAATAAAGCGTTTAATATAAAAGTGCCGGTTTAATTTTTTCTTTTGTAAAAAGAAAAATCGGTAAATCTTTCTTTGTTTTTTTCTCTAACAGTGAGCATTTTAGCGTTTGCGAAAAAATAATTTTATGGGACCGGGTTTGAAATATCTATATCAAGAATTTCACGATTCGCGATATACTATAAAAATATATTTATTTTTCTTTTTTTAATATATTTAAATAATACTGGCTTGTGCAATCTTCCCGCCAAATATAGGTAATCCCATTTGTAGAGATCGGCGACTAACCTGCTCTCTTCCACGACACCGTATTTTACAATCTATATCGATTATAATAAATAATATATTTAAAACGATAGCAATCCATCAGTGGTATTTTTTAGAAGTAGGTTTGGAGCTATAAAAAAAAACACCATGAATGGGTGAATCGATGGGATCTTTATTCAAGATCTTTTGATATAAACAACACCAGAATTCATAAAGTTATAAACACAAGTCTTAAATCGTATTCACTCAGGTAGGTAGCTCATAATAACAATTATAATCCGGGAACTTATCCATTCTTTCGAAGCAATCATTGCGAAGGCCTTCTTTGATTGGCTATTATTACCTTATTTTATCTATCCTCATGGTGTGCATATAAATTTCTAAACCTTTATTTTATAAATTTTTAATTATAGTTTCATATTTAGATCCCAGAACCCCATTTCCATAATTTTCCTCAAAGTTTTGTTCGGGCCCTTGCCCTTCTACATGTTTTTTTGTAATATTCCTAGCTGCTGAAGGGGCAAAATCAATTAGAAATTTTCGATTTAGGCGAAACGAAAATATAAATTCAGTCTTACAATAATTAACAAAATTAGAATATTATGAATAAACTGAACAGGGGGTGAGAATTTTTTTTTCCTTTCTTATTCTTACCTCCCTATTCATCCTCTTAGTTGTTGTTTTAATTTATTCTTATAATTTTTTTTATAATTTATAGAGTAGTTAATTTACTATAATTAATAAAGTAGTAGAAGATCAATCGATCTGATATTTTGTAATCCAAATAAAAATTATTTAGAAAAATCCAATTGCCAAATTTAGAAACTTGCCTGAAAGTATTATCAATTCTCAATGCAAATTATAAGAATTAAAACAAATACCTTTTTCTATACTTATTATTTTTAAATTATGTGCTACAAATTGTAGGAGTTTTCGCACACATGAGAAGACAGCACTTGGCAACTCTGTTAAACCATTACCAATGTAAGCGAAGCAAGCTTATCCTTTTAATGAAATCTGGTTGACATATAACCAATATTAACTTTTCTCAAAAAAATGTTCTATAAAGTAGGGCTGCGCCAATTTTACCGATATTAAAATAACAGTTAAAAATGTGTTGGCACCAGATTGACAGATATTTTTAAATAAACCTAAAACCATCTTAGAATGCCAATAACACTTAAAAATATTCTATCAATCAAAAATATTTTAAGGAGGGGTTGGTGCAAAATAAAATCAGCCATGTTTAAGATTGGCAAACCCTATCAATGTTGAACAAATTTTAAATCATCCGATTATAAACGTTTTCTTAGAATAATTTTGTTTTATAACAAGTTGTGATGTTATATATATATTTCAAGAAGTTTGTGCAAAAAAAAAAATTAGCTGCCAATCACGTGCCATTTCTGAGATATATACATATATAATCAGGTCATTTCAATATCGGTACATCCCAAGTACCCCCTTCCTGAAAAGCGCTAAAAATATGTTTCATTGATTGGTCTCCTTTTTAGTTAGTATTAAATACAAAGTTTGGAACTTACAAAAAATGGTTAGATTCCAAATATTTTTTTAAGTGGTTTCGATTACTAAAACTTTAAAAAGTGGATGTTGTCTTCTAAATTTGATGTGGTTACTTTGTTAAGCTGTGACCTAAATATTTAAAATATAATCAATAAACTTTCGTAACTTTAACGAAAAAAAAGGAGAAATATGCTATTTTAATGCAAAAAAAATAGAGGCCTAAATCATATATGCAAATTCACGAAAGTTTTTTAATTTTTTAAAGTTAGAGAAATCAATTATATTTAATAAATTTTAGCTGAAAGTTTATAAAGTTGTGAAATTTTTATGCAAAAAGATTTTAAGCAATATTTCATTTATATTTTTCAAATTAATATTCAAAATGGGCATTTATATTAATCCAAATGGGAAGTATGAAGATAATTTGTAAGGAATTTCAAAACTTTTAAAAAAAATTTAATGGAAGATTTTGGGTATGTTTTATAATTTAAAAAGTTATAAAAATTTTGAAGTTATTTTAAAATATCTAAAAGTAAAAAAAATAATAAATTTTCAAAAACCATTACACAACATCATATATAATTGGCTTCTGGAAGTTTAAAAATGGGTTTTGGTTCTTATAAATTTTAAAAAAAGATTCAGTTCTGCTTTCTAAAGCCCCCCCCCATTCTGAGGGTTGCAGGTTCAGATTCTGGTTAATTATGATTTTAAAAAAATATAAAGGTATATAAAATCAATTATTTTTAAAAAATAACTTTATCTTCAATTGGTATATGTGTCTTGAAAAAAACTCCAGCAGCAGAATTTTGAAGGTAGGTTAAAAATTTTGACCCAAACATAGAATTTGTTATAGAATAATGACTTTTATTTAGAAGAATGTTTTGCTGGTGCCATTTCATAGCATTTTTGACCACAAATATCAAATCAATCATTTTCTAAGTTTATATAAATATTTTTTTTAAATAACAATAAAAGAATATTCACATTATGTTACAAAACAAATAAATGATCTTATTAAAAACAGTTGAAATATTTTTATTATATGAAATCATTAAATTGTTTAATAATAACAGTGCTATATATAATCAGTACATAGGTTGGCAAGGGGGCATTTCCTTCCGCTTAAAAAATTTGCCATTTTAGTAAATATGATATAAAATTAATTAAAATTTTTCTCTACACCCCCACTTGTTAGAAACTCCAATTTGGGTTGCTTATTTACAAAAATACCTCTAGTAAAATTTATGGAAATGCAATCAACCTAATGACCCCTACCCCTTAGAAATATACTGACTAAGCCTATGAGTCATTATATATTTGAATTTTAAAGTTTTAATAAAATATTTAAAAAAATTTTAAATATTCTCAAAAATTAAAATAATACTACATAAAACTTTATTAATAAAATTGTAAATAAAATAAATCGATGGTTAATATAATATTAATTAGCAACTATATAATTATGATTTAAAGCTCTTTTTTTAAATAATAATAAAAGTTTACTTAATTTTAATTATAAAATACAAATTTTAGCTTAAAAGGTATTAATTAATAGAGCTTTATGAATAATTAATCATATTAAATGCGTATTTATAGTTTTAAATAATGGTATATAAACTTTTTGTTTCTGATTTCTAATCGCCGATCCATAACTAAATACCCAAACTGTTTCTTTTGGAAAACGATTGATAATTCGTGAGAGAATTTCAAGCATATGTTTTTATTGAATGAATGTGATCTAAATTCCTAATAAAAAGTGCGAAATCCTCACCCAACATTAAATATATTTATTTAAAGTTATAACTTGAAGAAGATGTATTAGGAGATTGGATACGAGGAATTATGGCTCTTGTCCATTTTATTTTACTATTAGCCCTTGACATATTAGTAAGGTTTTGTTATGGGCTCAACACCCACGCCAAATTAAAAATAAATAAAATTGTTTTTGAAGATTTAAATATTAAGCATCGAATAATATTTTATATAAATATTATTTTTTCTTTTTACATAAATTGAAATATAAACCCAACAGAATTCATAAGACATTTGATTCTAATAATCTTCCAATACTATTCTTAATGTCTTTCTGAATGTATTTAATAAATTCTTATTAATAATAAAAAATCACACCATTTTTCTAGTGCAAAAATTTGCTAAATACAATTTCATTTGTGCAATGTCAAATCATAATAAATATTTGGTAATCAGCCATCTTTCTTATTTGCAATGTTTATATTCTATTGCTTGAATAAAATACATTAATGTTAGTACAACTACTTCTAACAATTAGACATTTGATTTAAATAATCTTCTAACATTATTCTTGCATTTAAAATTTTACCTTTCTAATTGTTTTCCTGGTTATATAATTAATCATATTTATAATTAAAATGTAAATTCTGGTGTCTCCCAATAGTTATGCCAAACATTTTTGCTTGCATTACAATTGAATTACTAATAGATATGAGATTTTAGAATTTTTATATCTTTATAAATAATACCCATTTTTATTTTACCATTTACTAATATTATATAAAACTTTTTAAAATAGAAAAGATTAAATTCGAAAACTTTTAATTAAATTACCTTAAAATGTTATTGACAAAATATTGAAAATATCTTAATTTTTAACTACCAACATAACACATATAATGGATGCGAATAATTAAAAGGAAAAATAATATTATCTAAAAGTATATATGATACAATTAATTTGATTGAAAATCTTTATCTATCGCTGATATATTTAAACATTTTCCTAGTTTACTAATATTTCATATCGTAAATAAATGTAAAATAGTTGGTATTAAGTTTTGAAAGGGTTATATTAGGATCAATGACATATATATTACCTAAACTGACGATGCATTTATTAAAAGTGTACATCAATGAAAACAGCTCGGGACGCCATCTTGGTTACACTAATCATTATTAAAATTTTAAACGCGAGCCTAATTTATTCCTATATCAGATGCAAACTTTATTAAAGAATTACCGGATCATCGAGAGGAAGCAAGTTATCAATTTAATAGTAGTTTTTAACATGAGAATAATTATTATATGTGTTACCAAAAATGCGGGTCCAACTGATTTGCTTTTAACGACGTTTAAAAATGCATTTTAATGAATCAATCGTCTGTCTAGGTATTATATATGTCATTGATTAGCAGAGTTGTACGAAAGATCTTCTTTGAAGATTTTTGAGCGAGATCTAGCTCAAAAATTTGAGCAAGATCTTTGAAGATCGTAAAATTTGAAGATCTTTTATTTTTTTAAAATTTTGTGTAACGATCTTCAAAGATCTTCATGATATTTATTTTTTTACCCCTTTATTAAAAGCCCAGATGTTTTTCAATTTTCATAAAGGCAGGAGGAGAGGTATAAAACATAAAAGAAATATTATATTAATAAAATTGAAAAACATCTGGGCTTTTAATAAAGGGGTAAAAAAATAAATATCATGAAGATCTTTGAAGATCGTTACACAAAATTTTTAAAAAATAAAAGATCTTCAAATTTTACGATCTTCAAAGATCTCGATCTTTTAAGATCGTTGCTCAAATTTTTTTATAAATAAAAGATCTTCAAATTTTACGATCTTCAAAGATCTAAGATCTTTTTATTTTGAGCAAATGTACAACTCTGTTGATTAGGATATAAAAAAAATAATTGTCAGCAGAGTTGCTGCTAGATATTTTGAATTATCTTTAATTATAAGATAAAAATAAATCACAAGTTGAAATATCCATTATAAGGTTCCTTCCCTCATAATTTCTTCAATGCAACTAGATTCAAGGTAGAAATAAAAGTGGATATATTTGAGATGTATTTCTAAACCAAAGGATATTGAGTATAAAATTTCTCGTTCAACCGATTTTCTATAATTTTTACATTATTTTTTAAGTAAATTTGTTACAACCCTATATAATTCATCAAAATATTTTATATAGAATTTTATTTCTTTACAAATTTAGGATCAATATATTTCCAAAATTACTCAATCTTCTGGGAACATTTTTACTCTAGAATTTTATAATATATATTTCCAAAATTTCTCAAGCTTCTGGGAATATATTTAATCTAGAATTTCATAATCTGGCAACTATATACAAGATTTTTTTCATAGGATTTTATATTTCTTTACAAATATAGGCTCAATATATTCATATTTAGGTAAAAAAAAAGATGACGAAAAAGAAAACCTCTCCAATAATATAGAAATATAAATAAAATAGGACATTTTTCACTTACTCCCAACTATATATTTCGCTTATTTTGGTTTTCTTTATTACTTTAAACGACTTTGTAATAATAAAGAAATGTGGCTTTTTGTCAATAGAAGGACACCGTTGAAATCATCTCTGCTAGCTTTCCATAAGAAATGCAGCTTTGTTGTACATAGGAACGTTTGATTTAACTCACGGATAAGAATAAGAGTATTATCAAATTTACTCCGGCTATTACATTTTCCTGTAATACCGTAAATCTACTTCCCCAATTAGAGAGTAGAGTATATTATTTTATATTTTATTATAATTTCCATTGGCTATTGCATTTTCATAATATATCGAATTTATATTTCTCCAATTAGAATAAAGATAAAATAAAAATAATTTATACAAGAATTCTCAACCTCTCCCCCATTATTATCGATAAATCATCATTATGATTTCAAAATTTCAAATATGATTTCCTAAAAATGACTTGAATATCCTTGATAATTTCCTCTAAAAATAAAATCTCCTCCAAAGAATATCAATGATAAAATAGTAAGTACTAAGGTATCTTTGAATAATTTTACATAAGGACTTTCCGGAGAATACAAGTGAAGCATAGCATAGACAATATCTTATTACGGAAAAATGATTTTGATAGAAGTTTAATTTCTTCCCAAGCCTCTTCTCAGCCATTTTGATCGTAAAGAAAAATTAAATTCTTCCGAATAATATCTCTGCCAAACATAGCTGCTTCTTCTCCACCATTTTGATCGTAAAGAACTGTATACTGCATCTTTAACAGTAATAATTTAGTGGGGATAACATTGCGACATTTTCATATTACCTCAAAAAGGGTTAAAGATTGAATAGGGAAAATATTAAATTTCGGAGTAGCAAATAGAAAGTTTTAAGGAGGCATTTGCCCCATTTTTTTAGTGGGTTTAAATTTTTTTAGAATATGATCAAATAATGAAAAGCTAATATGCCACAATTGCCCGTAGTCGACGGCATCTTCATAAGAAACAATAATTTAGAGGAAACACGTCCTTATTTAACCACCCCTTCTCCTCTCTTATTTAATATCTAAGACTAGTTCCCTGAACATGGAAGATATAAAAAGTTTCTTTCTTAATGCCACCCCCGTTATTAAAACACCTGGTCATTGTTTATCAAGTTGTATTTATCATTATGCTTATTTTCAGATATGTTGTAGAACTCAATAAATCTACGTCTGAATAAAATATATCTTTTTTTGTATTTCCAATACATATTTTTTTAAAAAAATATATTATGTGATCCAGAATCATTGGATAAATTTTTTTTTACAAAGCCATTAATTTTAATATGCTTGGTTATTTTTATGATTAAAACAAACTTCTAAAACATAACTTCATAAAATTTGACTGGTCTTCTACTCCTAAATACATTTTTGATGTTTTGTTTTCATCAATTAATTAAGAGAATAAATTATTAATGCCGATATTTATTTATTAGTAAGAAATATATAAATGTGTGAATAATATGAAAATCGAAGATCTAACATAATATAAGAGTTAAACAGTTTCAAGAGTGAGGCAGTCACCATAGTTGACTCCCAGATAATGTAGTGATATCATTTAAATTGTTATGTTCAATATTATAAAGATTAAAAGTATCATTTTCAGAAGAACAAACAATACTATTGAGGCCTGAACCAGTACCAGATAAAATATTTATATCATTATTGGGAGATGAATTAATTCCTTTTTGATTATTACTAGGTACCGAATTAGAAAATGATTGCGTTTTTGCTATAGCATTCACCATATCAATACGAGGGTAAGGAAACTCACTACACGTGTTGAGTGGTAGATGTGTAGGGGATATTATAATTTTTGAAGATTCCAATGAAGTAGGAGAATCGTAACTGTCAAGTACATACTTACTTTCTAAAGCATTCATAGTCAAAAATATTTGATCATTTATATCATTATGTGCTAGCAACGCTGTAACATTTTTATGAGATTCAACTTGTTCATTCACAATCATCGTAGGACTATATGAATTAGATGGGCCATATAATTCATTTGATTGAGGCATCTGACGTGCGGTGTATTGTTGAATACAATTTTTGACGTTATTCAAATCCCATTTATCTGCTGAATTTAGAAGCATCATTGATGTAGGATCAAATCTATTAGAAAAATCCAAAGAAGATGTGACAGAACATATTGAAGGCGAGCCCAAGGTATGCGAAATATTGGATTCCATTGTGGCATCATAATTAACTAGACCGGAACTATGTTCATCGTTTGTCATTAAAGATTTAAGCCAAGATTCTGGATTAATCTGTCCTACGTCGTTATTAGGTTCTGTGATTATTTTGACGTCAGACCGAAAAGGCGGCATACGCAAAATATTTGCATCAATATCTTTAATATGAGCATGCTTATCGACATTCATCGACAAAGTACTCTCTGAAGAGAGAACCAAAGGGTTCGTAGGGAATATTGATCCATCTATTCCAATAGTAAAATATAAATGGGGATAAAAACTCATGCTATTAGATAAAGATGGCAAATGGTAACTGTTATTGCCGTTACCAAGAACTAACGTTGCAATATCTAAAGGATTAAAAACACTGATTTTTTTTTGGTGGTCCATATCGTTTCCGGATTTCTTGTCGGTGTCAATCAATGCGCTCATTTTGGATTGCAGCAAAAAAGATTGTAAATTGATATTCGCAGATGCCGATAACATCAGCGAACCAGATGATGGTATAATTAATTCAAGATTATTACGATGTTCAAACAAGAGTTTACCTGTATCTCTGAGGTGATTCTCGTTATTATAGGTGGAAGAGGATGAACAGGTCAAGATTCTTTCGGCAAGGACCCCCGAAGAGGTTGTATTCATTATAGCGTGAGAACCAATTCCTATGGGAAAAGAGAGACGTGGCATATCAGCGTTAGATGTGTCAAGAACAATATTCGAAGAAACACCGTATCCCAGGTTATCGACGTACCCGGGACGATCCCAAACGTTGCTCATATTTGGGTGTTTCCGTTTGAAATGCCTCTTAAGACTATGCCTCATTTTAATTCGGGCTTCGCAAAAAGGGCAAACAAAGGAGGCCGGAGTGTGAGCACGGGCAAAGTGGTCCAGCATACGATGGCGTAACAAGTAACGTTTTCCGCAGGTAACGCAGGCAAATCGTTTTTCTTCCGTGTGTTCCCTAATGTGGTGGGCGCAATATTCCTTAGAGGAAAACACCTGATTATTTAAGAAAAAAAATTTTTTAATGGGATGTGATATATTAATTTAATTAAAGTTACCTCACCTAATCCATTTTAATTTTGTGTAAGGTTGAACAAAATAAACACTCGTGGCTTATAAATAATTAATTAATATTCATTCAAAATTAACATTTTTTTTAATTAAAAAATAGGCAATTCATTTTACAATCTATTCTATTCTCTACTACTAGGGCTCATGATAAAAATAGGAATGATACATAACACGATTTTTTGTCTGCATTTAAAGTGAGAGTGTGCAACATTTTTCTGCATAAAACCTTAGAATATTTGTTTATGGAGTTAGAACTTTGAACTCTCATACATCTCCCATTCATTATAAAACATTTCATTCTTATGAGAATTATATATTTTAATTATATGTATTAAGGCTTATTCCTAAATTTAACGCTGTGTTATCTTATATATTTTTTTCAATTGGAAATCAATGAATTCGATAATTGGTTTTTTCTTTATCTTGTTAAAAAAATATAAAGAAATGAATGAAATAATAAAGGCGGTGTCCAAGATCTTTTTTAAAAAAATTTGAAAAGTATGAAAACTTTCAGAAGTTTAAAATTTTTTATGTAATCCCATGTTATTTAAATATTAAAGTTAATTTCTTCTCTTTTTCGATAAAATTATAAAACTTGGAAAAATTATATATAAGGGTATGTCCAAAATATCAAAAAATATGTTAATTTTTTACAAGGTTATTATAATTTTGTCATGGCTAATATACGGGAAAAAATTATATCACATCAATATGATCTTAATTGTCATAAATTTTCAATACCTTAATAAACAAATACGAAGATAGTTAAACGGAATAAAGAAACCTTCCGACAAATTGGGCATGAGTAACGTTGGCGAGCATGAGTGTTGAGATGTTTACGCAAGTTTCCCTTCTGGAGGAACGTCCTGGCGCATATTCCGCACTCGTGAAGCCGTTCTTCTGAAGCCATATGAAGCTTGGAGTGCATATCCAGTGCGTTTTTGCTTTTCACTACTTTGCCGCATACCGGGCAGGCGTAACCCTTCTTAATGGCTCCCACTAATTACACGATAATTATCGTTAAATAAAAAAAATAGCATTAACTCAGTTTATTCTTTAAAAAGGGATATGAATAACTGTTATTTTAATAGTTTTTACTTTAATTGCATAAAAAAAAAATTGTAGCAGGATGGACAATTTATATATAAAAATAACAAGCAGGGCCTCAAAAATCGGTGATTTTTCGTAAAATTTTAATAGGCCAGCCCGGGCATTAAAATTTTAATAAATTTTGATTAATACTATTTGAAATACAATACGCTTATTTCTTTGTAATTTATGCTTCTAACGAGAAAAAAAATATATAAATAATATAGTAAATTTACAACAAAAAATACAAGTTATTTTATAATATAATTTCAATTGCTAATACAGATGTCAAGCACAATTGATTTATAAAAACGGTGGTTGTAGAAATAGATAGCAATAAAGGAGAGAGTACCTAAAACGAATTATTCGTTATTGAATTCGATTCACAATTACAAGTAGGAATAACAAAATTACTCGATTCGAAATATATTATTCGTCAAATAATTTTTTCCCCATTATTCGTTCGAATTATTAGTATAATTTGTTTTTTTTCATATTATTCAAAATTTATCGTATATATTCGAAAATATTAAAACTTATTCATAAATATTTAAAATTTATTGTAAGTGTTTAACATGTTCCTCGAGGAACATTTTATTTTTTTAAACTATATTCCTTACATCTATAAATCACTTTTAAAATTTAATAATCTAGCGACGAATTATACAAGACATACTGTATTTTTGTATAATTTGCCGTGATATTCGCGCTAACCAAGAATTCAAGGGTTATACTGAAATATTTTGTGAGTTTCTACCTAAAAATATATTTACTACACAATTGACAACCGCAAGTTTATATCATCCTAATTACAAAGACGTTATTTATTTAATTTTTTGCATTAATTTGTACCGTGCACCTAGCCGAGTCCATTGCCCGTCAGAAATAAGATTGCATAGCTAGATCAATACCTAATTTTAAGTTTTAATTTTCGATCTAGCCAGGGTAGACTTGCTTTTTTTGTGGGGAACGGACGTAATTTAATTTTTATAATGCCCAGATAAAATAATGGAAGGCTATGATTGATACGGAAATTAGACCTAATGGAAGACATAGTGAATTAGAAAAGAATTGAAAACTAGAACTAAGAGGATCTTATAAATCTAACCATTACATATGATTCATATTAAAATAGGATTTTAAAAATTTTTTGTAAAAATACTCTTCTACTGGAAAAATATGTTAAACATAATCTCTTTTAAAATGATATATAAACAGTTTTAAAAGGGTTCAATAGTGTTTACATCCCCGTGGAACATATTTTAGATACGAAAAGTTGAAAAAAAAATTATTTGATTTTAACGTAGGGGCATATATAACTAAAAGTGAACCAAAACTTTACTAGTGTTAATTCTAATCAGGATTTTTTTTAAAATTGATAGTTGGCACAAGTGAGAACGAACACTAATAAGGTTTAAAAAAATCAACTTGTAAATATATTTATGTTAAATCCCTTAATAATAATAATATGAACCATTAGTTTGAGAAAGATCGTAAGCGGTTTCTTCATGAACTCTCCCATGCACCTTGAGGGTGTCGCGGCGATGAAAGCTTTTTCCACACACGCCGCATTTGAAGTTGCGTTCGCCGTGAATAGCCATGTGGCTTTTTAGGGTGTTAGAAGAAGCAAACTTACGCCCGCAGGATTCGCAAATAAAGGGATCCAAGTTGGTGATACGGCAACGAGACGCGTTCGTCTTTGTATTCAAGAAATCGGCATGAGAATCCAAGGATTGGGGAACCTTTTTGAGCACGAGCGAGAAGTGTTGATGGCATACGTGTTCCTCGAGGGATGCTTCTAGCCTGAACTTCCGTCCGCAATCGGAGCATTGATGAGAAGGTGGTAGGGCATGGAAAAAAGGGTCGGCCAAATGTTCTTCCAGTTGGGGTAGCGTGGGAAACATAGATTTTTTCGATTGATTGAAACCGTCTACGCTGGAACATAAGGAGCATTCAAATAGCACTGGGTCACATGAGTGTTCTGCCAATGTGGAACGACGAGCAAAACGAGACCCGCAAATTTTGCACTCATGCGGATGAGTATGAGTTCTGAGGTGACGTCTGTAGGTCGGAACATCGTGAAATATAGTATCGCACTCAGCACATTTGGCACCAGAGTTGGTTAGCTCATCCGAAAGAGAAAGATCTTTCGTGTTGTTGGAGGTATAGATATTCGGTTGGTTATTCGTGTTGTTGGAAGTGGGGATATTCGGCTGGTTATTCGAGTTGTGGAACTCGTTTGGGTGATCACTTCCCTCCTGAACGAGCGTCGTTAGATTGGGGATAAAGGCGCATAGCCTGAGATGATTCACTAAGCTATCTTTCCTCGCGAAGCGTTTGAGACAAATCTCACAAACGAAGGGTCTCGTATGTTTGGCTAGGTGCTTCATCAAACGCTTTTCGGACCCGAACACGAGTTTGTTATCGGTAGGACATTTCGGGCATGAGTAACAAGGTTGATCGCTTAACAAAAAAGAATCAAAATCTGGTGTCGTACTACTTGAAGGCGCAGAAACGGCTAAGCGGGTTGCAAGGCGATCATTATTGTGGTACTTAGTGGCGGGCTTGTATAGGTGTATATTTTCGTCGAGAACGTGCTTACCAACTTCTGCTTTGTAAATCTCGCATAATTCCGAAATGGAATTCTGTGTGGACACATTCAATTCCGTTATCCATTTTGAAGGCATACCACTCGAGGCTATATTATTAGAAATATTAGCGCCACATGCCTTTTGTTTTTCTTCAAGATCTTGGGAAATTAATCGAAAATCTTGAAGATGCACGAAATTTGCTGGAGGAGACATTTGTGGTGAAGGTTTATCATTTTGATCTTCGTAAAACAGTGGTGTAGGAGAAGAATTTTCGCCATCTTGACTATCGTAGGCGGTATGCGACAAAAAATGTTGTAAGAATTTCTTCTTATTTTTGTAGATTGCCGGGCATAGCGAACATTCGAAACGAGGTCTTTTAAGGTTAATCATACTCAGATTTCCCGAATGCTGTCTTGTGTCGTCACGCGAAGAGAGCGCACTTTTAGCAATGAGTTTGTACGTATTATTAACTATGGATGTCCTGCCATTATCTTGCGTCAATATATATTTCTGAGAGACCTGAGGAAACGTGCCCACAATGTCGGTCCCTTTACCCGACATTGAATCAAGATAGTTGACATCTTTGTCACCTATATTTTCGTCGGGAAGATAATCTCGTTCATCGTGGGTATCATGATTAGTTAATGAGTTTAACAAATCAAATACTCTCGAACCATCATCTTTAGAATCGCCTTTAACGACGTTAAGCGCAAGATCCTTTTTGCCATTTATTAACTCGAGGTCTAAGGGGTGAAGCAAAACAAAGCATTCACGGAATTCGCTAGCGGTTTTTGTTTTTATGATCTCGTTTCTCTTTATTCCATAAGATGTGTTATCACAGTTTTTGATGTCGATGGTATTATTAGAGTTCCTGATTCTCTTCCTCATTCTTTCTAAAAGAGCTAAGGCCTAAAAATTTAAAAAAATAATAATTGTTAATGTGTCTATATATTACCTTAAGTCTAAAACTGCTATTTTATATTTTTATTTTATAATTTTTATAATTTCATCTTCTAGGTATTGCGTGTGATTTGGCAGCAGTCTCATTAGTTACTTCTATTATATCCAAAATTTATCATGTTTTTTTTCTTCTAATAAAGTCTTGGCTGCTTATTGGTCTGGTGTAAGTGAAGGATTTCCAATGTGCGACTCTTTATCTTGAGTATTAACCACTTTTTTTTATACTTTACATTTTTTTATTTTCAATGACATACATTTTGAGAATATTCTATTATTCCAATTTTTTTTACTGTAGAAAAAAGTCTTTGAGTTGACTTGTCTCTATTTGACAATTAAGAAATAAAATTTATTGTAATAATCCTATTAAAAGAATAACAATGAAAGTAATGATAGCTGTTGGTTTCTAAAAAAAATATAGTAAATACTCATGAACGATTCTCGCCGCTTACTACAAACGATACACTGCCATTCACAGTTAGCGCGAATTCGCGGCGAAGTATACAAAATACGATATAAATAATATAATTTTGCATTCATTTTTGTATACATCACAGCGAATTCGCTTTAAATGTGAATGCAGGGTTATGTATATAAATTCCATTATTTTTACATGTACATAATATAATGACAAAAAAAAATAATACAAATTCAATATATATTCTCACTTGTTTAACTTAGATTAATAACTTTCCCATTCATAATGAGAATATACACAAATAATCTGGAATTTGATATAATTGAATTTGCTTTACATTCACATTCAATTGCCATCATTAAAAATGCTTTTACCTATATTATTCTGATCACTTCAACTATTTTTGGTTTACCGAAAGTTCGTTCACAATAAAGGTCTGTATTGGGCCGGTTTTTAAACCATAAGCCCGCCCACCCAATGTTTAAAAAAAAATTTAACCCGCCCGCAATAGTTTTCAAAAAAATATACCCGCCCACCCATTAGTCTAAAATTTTTTACCCGCCCACCCATTATTTATAAAAAAAATTTAACCCAAGCCTGCTATTATAAAATTTAATTATGGCCATTCTTAATTTTTTAAGTATCTAATAAAACAAAATTTCAGGATTACACCTCTACAAAAAGTTTTTAGGAAATTACTATGTTAAGCATAAAAAAATATTCAAATTTAAATTATGGATAATTTATTTGATTAAATAAAATATTTATGAAAATAATTTAAATATATATTTGATATTTTATGTAATTAATAATGCAAAAATAATAATGAATCGGCATTTTCTGGATTCAAACACGTTCTTCAAAACCTTCCAACAATGCTAAAACTTCGTTCAGAAGAAGCACTAGTGGAATTGCCAATATTTTTCTTACTTGATAGCTTTGGCAAATCTCTTTCTTGTCGTTTCAACCAATAGTTTTAAATATATAAAAAAGTTTATTTATTTTAAGAAAAAAGTTTTTATGATACCAAAAATGGACATTTTCAATTTATAATATCCAAACAGTTCATAGGAACAATTTTTTTATTAATATTTACTTAGATGATTTAAATTTTTTAATCCGCCTGCCCTTTGTTTAAATTAATTAATCCGCCCACCCACCCGCCTATAGTTTAAATTTTTTAACCCGCCCACCAGCCTGTTTTTGTCGCCCACCCGTCCAATACACGGCTTTAATTCATAACTCATTTATGTGTAAAAAAAAGAAAATATTTATATATACAATATATAGGTTGTTTTGGGCAGATGTTAAGATTCCCTGCATTTGGTCAGAGAATCTCCCCTAAAACTTTATATAACCTTGAATTTCTTTTATCTTCATTCTTTGTTTTTTGACATGTTATAATTACTAGAAATAATCAAGCCAACTGCTATAATTTCGCGAAAATGAAATTGATTCTTTTCATAGTTTCTCGTCATCTACTTTCACTAACAAAGCAAGGTCTTTTCATTTTCAGTTATACCTTCTATGCTAATTTCAACAAGCCATCTATGATAAAAATATTGGGCATCCATTTTAAGATGTCTATTTTTTAGTAATCCATCGGTAAAAAGTGTTGTTAAACGGCTCATTTTGAGCCGATTTTTTAAAAAGGCTAACTCAATATTTTATTAGGAAAATTATTATGCAAGCCTTATGATTTTGCTCACAGGTGGCACAAAGGTTTGAACATCTATTAACAAATCTCGAGGCTTAGACAATATTTTACTATCTAAAATATTGAGTTAGCCGTTTTTTTAAATCGACTCAAATCGAGCCGTTTAACACTAGGTAAAAATATTACTAAATAGATTTAAAGTGCATCATGGCACACATCCGGAAATTCCTCAAGGCTTCTTTATAGCTAACTCTAATAAATGGTTTTTTTGCATAAAAATATTTTAGGATATCATCAAGTTCAAGTTTTTATTGCTAATAATTGTCCTATTTATAGCTTTTATTTATATTAAAAGGAAATCTATAAAACTCCTAGATTTTTATCATTAACCATTATCCAAGCCTTTCTTGTTTGTAAGTATCTTAAAAGTGATCAATTATTTCAAAAAGATTACAGCCATTAACAATATTTCAAATTGGCATATTTTAGTTAATAAAATTCAGATTCTTAAGTTGTTTTTAATTTAAGAGAATTGTTGATATATATGTAAAGTAGGTAATCATTAGTATTATCAAATCCTTGTCAATTAAACCCATAAAAATGCCTTCTCATGTGACCACCTATTTGTTTTCCCAATTTTTTGAAGCCTTTTTAATTGTTTGAACCTATTAATTAATATTCATACTTTTTGCCCATATCATCATCCTTTTATATAATTCTTTTTTTTCAAAAAAAACTCTATAATGTAGCCCAGAAAAAGATTCTTGTCCTCAAGATAATTATATTTATCACAAACACATAAATTGAGAATACGGCTAAACACCAGATATAAATCCTCTCTGATAACACTTGCTTAATTAAGCTTGCAAACCAAAAATAAACTTCACATATCGCTCCTTCAAACAAAATAATTGTCCAATTATATTTTTATTTGCACTCATTTTTAAAAAAAATGATTAAAAATCTCTAAAGGCCCCACTTTTTATATAATCTCGAGGCCATGTTCGGTTTCCCTTTGGGCATTGGTATCCATGGCCAAAATCCTATGAGATTATTGTAAGATCAGGCCTTATATCATCTGGAGAAAGATAAGAAGGCACTAATTGGTGCAGCATGTCACAGATAAGGTTGGCTGAGAGGACCATTGCAGTATAGTTATGGTATATTCCTTGGTTGAATATTTTAGAATCATATTTTTAGCTATTAGAATGCATGTAAAGTTGAACAATGCCACATTCAAGGTATTGACTTCACTCTCAGTTCATCTGATAAGGGCATGTTGTCTGATAAACTGGAAGTGTAGTTTTCATTATAAATTGTTTTAAATAAGGTATTTATTTGAAAAATCCAAATGTATATGTATCAACCTGTAGGCATAGGTAAATAATTCTGCCAATTCAGAAAATAAAAATAAATAGATTGGATACCTACCAAATTTTATCAGCAAATTCAGACTAAATAATACAAAGAACTGCAAAATTTAAAAGAAAAGGCCTTGACATAATTCATGAGTTGCTAATAGATTAAGTACTGGACTAACATGCAAAGGTGTATTCTTATTTGAACAAGCTAAAACAAATATCATTTTTTTTAAATAAATTAAATAATATTGTTTATAAAATTTGTGATTATTTTAAGTCATCACAATTTAGTTGTATTAGAAATATAATATGGCTAATTTAAATATTATTATCCAAGCCAACATTTTTGAGTTGCAAATCTGTTGACTATATCAACCAATTATCCAAATAATAAACAATCTTGAGAAATGTATCTCAGCTAAAAAAAATAATGAAATAATGTGAAATGATCAACAAGTCATTAATACAATAGCAAAAAAATAATTATTTCTCAATAAAAATAACGATATCTTTGATAATATCAAGAGTTGTAGGATTTTTTATACAATAATTGAACATATAAGATAAGAAATGAATTTTTTTAAACTAACATATGATAAAAGTATGGATTTATATATAATATGAATGAACATTTACTTAGATTGATAAAAGGCGAACGTTACTTTAGAACCATTTCAAAAAATTAATAAATCACGTGATAATATTAATATTGCAAATGAAGCACAAATATTTTAATTCGAATCTAAAATTAAGATTAATATATATATATTTTCCAAAAAGTGCTAAACTCGTTATTTGATTTTATATGAATAGGTTATATTACATAAATAAATCTGAATGATGCAAAATTATAAAAGATTAAAAAATCTTTTATAAATAAATATTTTTAATAAATTTTTTAAAACCCTTCTGCTACTAAAATAAAAAAATCTGAACTTGCTTTCTTATCTTATAAGGATCATAATTAGTAAATCGCAAAAACCAAAATTAATAGAGAGTATTTAAATCTATAAGATTAAACATCCTAGAATAGACCGAGAATGGTGAAAAAGACTGAAAAGATTATTTTTTAACAATTATAATTTAATCATCTTTTGAAAAATAAATATGTATTTCATAAATCTTTTCACACATTTTAAATAGAAGATAAAAGTGTTTTTAAAACCCCCTATTTATGACGATTTTAAAATGGTCCGATTAAGATTTTAGCCAACATAATATTATTTAAGCCTGCAAATTGCTCATATAGGAGGATGGCTTAAACCTTTGTTTGCTAAATCTCGAAAAATAAAGTTTATACAGGCCCAATTTTAAAACATTGTCAATTAAATTAAATTGTTCAGTGCATTTTCAATTTTTTTTTAAATTACGTCTAATCTCTCATGGCCTTGGATTAATGGAATAAAAATACTCTAAATTCGATTATTAAATTAACAATAATATTTCGTTATTAATACAGTTAAAACTGCATAATTACCTATCATCTAGGTGTAGGCACTTTTCAATGAGAAATAAAAAGGCCATTTTGTTCAAAAATAATTAGTTGAGTGAACCGAAAGAAGATTTACGCCTTTAAAATTCTAACTAATAATAAATAAATCCTATTTAAGGTTAAGTATGGCACAAGAAATGTGAAATTAATTGTTTCAACAAGAATGATATCATAAACCATTTGAACTAAATATTAATAAATTTGGTAAATAAAAGGCCAGAAAAAAATCTTGAAAAATTATATTTAATAAATATGATGAAATTTTATATATTTATTGTTGGTTCTTATATAGAACCATCTAAATATTTAACTTTACTATTAAATAATATTATCCATTGAAGGGTCCAAGTCCAAGATTATTTTTTTTTAAATATGAAGGAAAATAATAAAAATTAACTTTACAAATACTTTTAAAATCTATTTTTGGAACTTCAAAAATTTATAAAATTAATCTTGTAAAATTTCAAAAAAAGTTTTATTAGAGATATTTGCTGAAAATGATAAATCTTATGATAAAAAGGATCTTTATCATAAATTATTTAAAAAAATTGAATTTATTCGATGAAAAAAATATTCAGTTGTTACTTATTTCGGGGGGCATATATATATTTTTTATATTTCTTTTTTAATATTAATATAGATTGGTTCTTTTTATAATT